TTCTGTGATTTTGTATACCTGCTTTCATGACTGGGACCTTTCTCCTACTGTCTGTGTGCACATGGGTTAGAACATATCTGAGGGAAACGAGGAATGAGGGTAAAGGATGAAAAAGATTGAGCACTGCAGTGTTAATGAATGCTGTAACTGGAGAAAAGGGACATATCTCCTGTTGAAGCCATGCAGTCTGGTCAGGGGAGAGAGAGCACAGTAGCAGTCTCCTGTGCAAGACAAATTGCATGTCTGCCTTAAAGATTTGGAATCTCTAACTGCTGCTCATGGGCTCATGCAAAGAGAGAAGGATGGGCTCACAATCTGAATCTCTAGTCCTTCAGTCTATCTTGCAGTGTAGGTTAGTACAACACAGTGATTTTGCCCTAGATTTATTTGTTACTCCTTTTTTCCCCTTTGATGCCTACTCCACAGTCTTCCTATAGGGAATGGAGAGAGAATTCAATGAGAGGGGCTCAATACAATATTTTAATCTTCACGGACATACTGAAACACACAGCATTTAGGAGTATTGGCATTCATAGAATCATAGAATCATATTATCAGCCTTGTTGGAAGAGACCTCAAAGGTTGTTGAGTCCAACCCTACCACCGTTACTGGACCATGGTAATCTTACATATTCAGAAAGTATACCTTGGCTTCTGCTCTTGTTTGGCCTCCTATACATATCAAACTAATTGTGAGAAAGTAGGGTATCTCTTGGACATTCTTTGTTCCTGTCCTGACCACAAACATGAAGTGTAGTCTTTCAGATTGGAGAAATAGGGTTTGCCCACAGTTTGAGATCATGTATGCATAGCAACTTGTACATAGCAATACATCTCCAGAAAAAGACTTCTGTGTGTCATCATTGAGAGATGACATAGGAGACATACTTGATTTAGGCATGAACTTACTCTTCCTCGGAAGGCATTAGAGGTTTTTCAAGACAGCATGCACATCATGGATGCTGGTTGTCAGAACTGCTCTGTGATTTCATTATAAGCCATGAGGCACATGCTGCAATTCCTGTCCTGCTTCCTTTGGTAGCAGCATGAGGTGCATTATCTGTGGTTTTCAGAATGTCATTAGTTGCAGATTTGGTGTCTCACATGGCAGTAATATGACAGCCCTACCAAGTCTTGTGTGTTTACATCAGAAATTGGCTCTCAGTTCATTCTCCTCTGCTGCTGAGCTCGTTTCCTGCCTGTTTGCAGCTCTGGGCCCCTCTCCCACGCTGTGAGCCAGTGTGCCAGGTACACAGCTGCTGGCCTGCTCACCCAGCCTCCTGCAGCTGCTTCGGCACCAGGATCCCACAGCAGGAAGGATGCTGCAGGCCTCTGGTCCTGTTTGCACTCTATTTTTCCAGACACATGTTGCTCTGCATAAAGTTGTTATGTATGCTTCGTGTCAAACTGCAAGCAAATCTTAACCCAGTCTTAGGGCCTCTGCCTGGGGCTCTTGGTCTGGAAAGGGCAGAGAAGATGTCAAAGGGGTTGAATGAGGTCACTGACTATGAGGGCTGTGCACACAGCAGAACCCTGCTAAAAGGAATCTCCCAGGTACAAGTGAGTGCCACCCTGGGTTAGGCAGTGTGCTTGTGTCATCCCCCCTGTCACCCAGCATGTGGGCTCCCCTGAGTGCAGGCTGAAGGAATCCTAGAGGTTTGTGGTATTTGGCAGTGGGGTTTGTGGTAAAAAAAAGGAGCCAGTGGGACTCCAGTTTACCTCAAACCCTATAAACATAGGTGTTTATAGCATTTAAATCACTTGAAATAAGCGAATTGTCCAAGCACAGTACCAAGACAGAGAGCAAAGTGTTCCTGGGAGGAGTTTGTGCATGTTTTCCATTAGCAGTCAGACAGGGGCCAGGGCAGAGAAAAAGGCATGAGAACAGCCTTTCACCATGACCTCACTAACAAATTTCCCAGCTCTGAGCTCAGCTCTGTTGCATGACTGAACAAGTGAAGAAAGCTCAACTGGTTCCAGGGTACTTGTTGCTTTTACTGGTATCTTACTTTTATTTTATAGCAAACCGAGTAAGGGTTCTTGAGGTGTAAAAGCCTCAGATGGAAAGATAGGCTATGCATGTATTTATGGGTTTTTGGGCAGAGACAACAGCCTTTTGACATGTTGTAGCTGCTATGTGGATGTTTCATACGTGGCCAGTGGGTCCCACACACTCCAGATGCATCCAGCTTGTGGTGCATTTGTGTCAGGGTTAATGAATGGTGAGGGTGCTGGGCTGTTTGCAGAGTCAGCTGGCATGTGTGTGTGTGTCTGTCTGTCTGTTCAGGCGTTTCCAGTGTCTGGAGATCGTACATCAGTCTCTGTCTTCCTTTTTTTTTGTTTGTTTGTGGTTTTTTTTTTGTTTGTTTGTTTCCTTTCTTTCTGCCTCCTCAAATCTTTTGAACAGGAGAAAGAAGACAGGCAGGGGAGAAACCCCCACAAAGTGAAGAATAAACATGGAAACTTGGGTGCAGTTCAGTGACCCTTTACACAAATGCTGATTCCTGCTCAAACTCAGTATAGTGCCTGGGTGTCAAAGGAGTTTAAATGGGGCATGCTAGCCTGCAGTCTCCTGCTTCTTCCATGAATGCTGGGGTTTCCTGAGGTGAAGCCTTTTACAGGAGCAGTTTGAGGTATTCCCTACTGTTCACCTAATTGTGCTGGCAAAGCAGAGGCAGCCCTGTGTTGTGGTGTGGGAGAGGAAATGAGGTGCAAGAGAGGGTGAGAGCACCTTAAACCAGTGTTGACACCAGAGACTTTACCTTGCGAAACCACAGTGTTCCTCATGCACATAGGTGCTGTGGTTGATGACAGCAGCCAGTTAACAAGTGCTGAAAGGGATTGAAAGGAGGGACCAGGACCTCCACTCTTCCAGGCTGCTTGGGCAGGCAGTGCCTTACCCTGGTTAACACGGCCATGGGGTTGGAAGCAGTCCCTTGGGTTGTGGGATCATAGGCTATGACTAACCAAAAACCACAAGAGCATCTGTTAACTCTTAAAAACAGAGACTTGTAGAATTAAGACAAATGAGGGCTTTACAAACTTCATGGCAACTGCAAAAGTAATTACAGGTTTCAATATATATATATAGCCAGTCAAATGGTTTCTGTGCATTTGGGCTGTAGATGTATGAAAAGGAAGGCGTTAGCCTGGCCCAACTGAATTCCCTGTATGGGGAATTCATTTAAGGTCAGCAGCTTTACACCCCAAAGCTGTGCATCTGCAGTCATTAAGCACATATATAGGAAGCTGTCCAGGCAGATGTATCACTGTCCTTCCTACGCTGTCTGCTTTTTGGTTTTGGTATTACTAAAATCTTCAGTAAGAAACGTCTTTTTAAGTGTCAGATGTTACAAGTTGTCTGTGCCAGTTTCCAAGTCGGAGTGTGGGTTTACATGGCTGGTATCTTTCCAAGAGCTGTGGAAGGAGGAAATATACCAGGACTGGAAATTCCTGGTGAATGCAAGAAGCTGTAAAACCTCCCACGGGGCAATCTGTGACAGTGCAACAGGCTGACAGCCTTGTCTGACTTCTTGCTGAAGCATAAAAAGACCGTGTGGAGCTGCAGATGCTTTCCCTGATTACTAATGAGAGAAAATCCTAACCGCTTGGCTGGTTTTCCTCACAGGATGAATGCTCAGGGTTGCTGGCGAGGTGGAGGTTTTTTGTTTTGCTTTTCTCCCCCCCTCCCTGTCTGAATATCTTCATTTGTTTGAAAGTACCCCACTTCCTGGTAAAATACTAGTTTCGACAGTAAATGCCTATCTGGGAAAGGGTCCGAGATCAAGGGCAGATTTGAGAGAGAGCAGTTGAATGATGAATCCCAAGTGGGTCAGTGATGAGGTGTTCACCTGCAAGGTGGGAGCCACAGTCGGGCAGTCTCTGTTCTGACTGTCAGTATTTATGCAAAGTGGATCAAGACCAGCAGGAGAAGTGGAGGCACCCTGTGGTAGCTGGCACCAGGGTGGCTGGCTCTGTTTTCTCTGATGTGGGCTACAGCAGGGCAACAGCATATTTCATAGGTGTGTGGCTGACCTGTGGGGCCATTGGCAGCCTTTTTTTTTTAGGGAAGATGAAACCACTTTTATTGAAAGGGTTGAACTTCATTCAAATGTGGGATTGGAACGTATTTGTGGAGGGGCAAAGCAGATCCACCCAGGCCTGCTCATACCCAGTAGTTAGGAAGGCGAAGGGAAGGGTGCTGGTCTGCAATTCAGGTCTGTAATGTCAAGCACAACCCAGCTAATGTGCACTCTGTGGACCCATGCAAATGAGTTTATTCACATTTACAGCATTTCAGAGAATTTCCATGCAAATCTGCCTGACTGTAGTGTACACCAGTCAAAGCAAGACACACACTATCTTCTGTGGTCAAAAGAGGGAGTGAGCTGTGCCAGGGTGAGGTGATAGTGGTGCTGAAAAAACAGGCAAAATGAAGGACTGTTGAGCAATAGAAAGGCTTATACAAACAGGCTACTTTTGTGGGACAACCATCAAGTAAACCTGGTTGCTTTGGAGACAATCTCTGTTTTATTTAGAGCTGTAACTGGAGGAGAGCTGACAGCTACAAAGTCACACTTTTGTCTGGAAAGTTTGTGTGGGATCATATCTCATTGGTAGCAGACAACAAGGACTGATGCAGACTGTTTGTGGATGTTGTTCCCACACTGTGCATGTTTGATGGGTCTTTCTGTGCATTTGTCTTTTGAATAGGGAGGTGGAGATGCACTTAGTTTAACACAGTTTTAGTATATTGAAGTGCTTTCCCACAGACTCTTAGTTTAGATGGATTTTAGATTTTTAGTTTAGATGGTTTTGATTTTTTTGGGTCTTTTTCCTGCTCCAGCTTTTTCTTGGGTTTGTTTTTTGCTTGTTTGTTTGATGTGGTGTGTTAAATTCACTAATCTCACACATTTTCATGTGTGTATCCTGTTACTTGGAAAAGATGCACAAATGTAGAAGCTAAATGATGACTGGGTTAGAAAATGTAGGTAGCAAATATGACCAATAAAAAGGCCACTAGGCTAAATGATGACTGGGTTAGAAAAAGTAGGTTGCAAATATGACCAATAAAAAGGCCACTAGAGGGATGGCAGATTTTGAGGTTTTCTTCTCCTTTTATTCCCTATACACATATATAACCTGTGCTATATTTCCTTCAGTCTGCTAGTAGAGAGGGAAGGTTGCAGATGCTCTGCAGGTTATAGGTACAAAATACGGTATTACAGTTGTAGATCACCATACTGAGCAATTCAGAATTGCATAGTAATGCATCATTCTGGACACTGGACAGTAAAATTTCCATTTTAATCCCTCTTACAGCACTGTGATAATTCAGTGATCATATGAAAAAAAGGTCAAAACAGTTGTCGTGCACTTGAAGAATATGATACTGAGAAATTTTCCTTGGGCCACTCACTGGGGCTTACAGTCAGAAAAATGCAAAACTGCCCTCAGAGCCTTTGTTTAGCTTGTGTTTATTTTTTCCTCTTATCTGTCGGTTGTGGTTTTTTGTTTTCGTGGGTTTTCTTTTGCCTTTTATTGAAAGGAAAAGAAAAGGATGAATAATAATTCTTGGAAGCAGAAAACAGGCTGTTTGGTTATCACTGCTGGGAATGCTGTGTAGTGAACCTGTAGGTGAGGGAGTAGGTGGTTCTACTGTTGCTTGTCTTGCAGTTCCTAAATATGATCATAACCAGCTGAGCCTGTGTCAGGCTTGCAACTCTGCTTGTAACCACACCCACCTCAGTTTGCCATGCATGCTTTATCCTGAGTTGGTTTAAAAGACATTTCTGGGAGGCATTTTTGAGGTTGTTCCACATCTTGAGTGGCTGCTGCTGGCTGCTGGTGTGTAAATGTGCTTTTGTCTATGCTTATTATCTGTTTACTTTGTTTGTAGGGCTCATCACAATAAAAGAAGCCCATGACATAGAAGCCAGACTTAATGAAGTGGAAAAACTTTTGAAAACTATTATAAACATGCCCTGGAAGGTGAGTAAGCCAAGTTCCAATTTAGCCCAGCTTGACTCCTCCTTCATGGTGACATGCACTCTCATGCAGATTAGAAAGTGATTTGCTTTACCAAACTCTGAAAGAAGCACCAAATTATTGAGCTTCTTGGAGAAATGCTGAGTGCCAGAACTGTGTAATGATGCCCCCAAGCTGTTGCTTGTAATAAGTGTTTCTGTCACGCTACAAAAAGGTGGAAAGGCAGAAGAGGGACAAAACAAACTACTGGTAAAAAATGGATTTCTTTTTTCTCTCTGTTTTAGTATTCAAGATCTGAAGTTGTCCTCACGTTCTTTGAGAGATCTCCTTTGGACCAAGTTCTAAAAAATGACAATGTCCACAAAATTCAGCCAAGCTTTCAAAGTCCAGTTAAAATATCAGGTAAGAGTTGTTAACTTCCTGCAGTTGACACAAGAATTGCAGAACGAGAATTACATTATTTGCTGTTCTCCTTATTCTTTCTCTATCAGCAATTCAAAACATAGTTCTCAATTGTCTGCTTTATGACATAGAATGTATAATCAGCCTTGACATTCTATGCAACATGTATCCAGGCAATAGAGTGGCCGGTGAAATGGAAGGCTGATAAAGGCAAAGAAGTGGATGTGAGGAAAATGCAGTCCTCACTGTGTATTGCCACATATGATAGTGGTGTTACCACTTAGGAAGAAGATTCTGAGGCTATTGATACAGTTCTGTGAAAATGTAAGCCCAGTGCCAAGCAGTGAGCAAAACCAACAGAGAGAATATTACATATTATTAGAAAAGGAGGGGAAAACAGAGGAGATGAGCACATCCCCATCTTGAATACAGCATGCACAATGTTGGTCTCTCCCTCTCAGAAGGGATATAATAGAATTTAAAATTACACAAATAAAGGGCAAGGATTCAAGTGTTGAACAGCTTCTCTAAGAAAGAGGTTAAATAAAGAACACTTCACCTGTGAGACGAGATGACAGAGTGGGGATGTGATGGAAGTCTACAAAGCTGTGAGTAGAAAGAGGTCAATTACCCTGTACTCCTCATGAAACAAGAGCTATAGGTTATCCAATATCGTTGACAGACAGCAGCCTTTAAATAAACAAAAGAAAACTATCATAAGTTTTTTTGTTTCCATATGGAGCATAGTTAAGTATGATACTGTTTTGTTTCCATATGGAGCATAGTTAAGGAGTGGAACTCATTGTCATAGGATATGGTGGGACTGAAAGCATAAGTGACTTCAAAAAGGAATAAGACAAGGAGGTGGAGAAAAAGCACATTGAGACCTGTCACAGGTGGAGACATAGGAAGTTTCTAAACCACAGATTGCTGGTGGGTAAAATGGAGGGCAGTATTACTCTATCCTTGTCTATTCTTTTAAACTTTCCCCTCTTCATCTGCTACTGACTGTTGTTAAAAGGTTTGTGAACTTCTGGTGTGTCTGGTTTTGTATTTCTGTACTGAAACATTTTGTTTGAGCCTAATGTCAGCTGTTGATTTTGTGCCAGGAGAGCTTATTCAGAGAGTTAATTGAAGTGAAATACTACATAGTCCTCTAAGGAGCATGATGTGTTTAGGAAGAAACTGGTATCAGTTTTCTTAGGTAGTAACCATGTTAATGGCCAGTCAGCATGTCAAAATGCTAGAGGTGTAAACTCTGTCTTAAGGATTGATTTTATACACAGGCTAAGCTATTTGTAATTGATCTCTAGCTCTGGTTCTAAGAGAATTAGTTCTCTCTTAAATAAATATTCTTTTAATTAAATGGAATATGGTTTGCAAGCCCATCAATAACTCTTTAGAAGTGTAGTGTGCAATACAGAGCCTCAGTGAGAAGCACTGTCTTGCCAGCCTGTCTAGGCCA